CGAGCCCAGCCTCCTCCAGCGGCCTCAGCCCCGGGGCTAGGGAGCTCGGCTGGTGTGGGGCGAGAAAGCCAGGCGGGCTTGGGGTGCAGAGAGCCAGGCTGGGGGGTGCAGAGAGCCGGGCTGGGGGGTGCAGAGAGCCGGGCTGGTGTGGGGCGAGAAAGCCAGGCGGGCTTGGGGTGCAGAGAGCTGGGCTGGGGGGGTGCAGAGGGCAGGGCTGCCATGGGATGGGAGAGCCGGCAGTGTGGGGTGCAGAGAACCCGGCTGGTGGCGAGGGCACCCCGCCAGAAGAGTGGGGCCTTAGCTAGTGGGGGCCACGCACAGCAAGGCAAAGCGGAGTCGGCAGGGCTGTCCCAGACGCCCGGGGCTGCGGGGGGCGGCACAGAAATGGAAGCGTAAGAACCAGGGAAGAAGGGGCCAGCAGCCAGCTGGAGACCCCCCGGGACAGGCGGCCGGTGCCGGCTGGGGGCCGGGGCGGCCCCACTTCCCAGCGCAACCCTGCTCTGCCGCCGGCCGGCCAGACCCGCCGCTCACACAGCACCGAGCCGGCAGGAGACGTGCAGACTGGGCCCCGTGGGGCTCCCAGGCCAGGGGTGCGGGCCCGCAGCCCCAGGGGCCTGCCCACCCCAACACCAGGCGCCCGGCCCCAGGGCCGCCGCAGCCCTCCCTTCAGACCTGCTTTGCGGAGGGCACTGGCTCGCTCACGCCCCCTTCTGCTGGCTCGGCCTGCTCAGCGCCCCGGGAGTGGGCCCTGGGGGCGGGTCCGAGGCCCTGGTTTGGCCCCGCCCTGCCCTGCTGCACCCCAGGCCCCTGAATTCACCGAATCCACCGTCCTTGGTCACATCCAGACGCGAGCAAGCCCACCCCCGGCCCCGGGGCGCTGCCCAGGACAGGGATCCGCCTCCCGTGGTCTCCCGCCGGGACGCCCCAGGGCCCTTCAGCAGGGGCGCTTAGGGTCCCCCCAGCGTCACTCCCCGGCGGGGGCCGCCGGCCCAGCTGAGCACCGGCCTTGCCCAGTCCCTTCCGTGGCGGCCGGCGGGAGCTGGGCAGCCCTGCTCTGCCCAGGCGCCTTCGCGGGGGGCAGGGTCGTGGCCGGCTCCACTGCCCCCCGCCATCCACGTCCCACCGGAGCTGGGGCCCAGGCGCCTCCGCAGTGAAGCCGGCACCCCCGGAG